CCCCGCCCCTCGGGCCGCCACCCGGAAGGTCGCCTGCACCTGCGACCAAAAACCCTGCAGCTGCCCCAAAGCGGATGTCAACTACGCGTTTCTCAACGCAACAGGTAAAGGCGCCGGCTGGCCAGGACCTCGCTCCTCCCCGCCAACGCCTGACCCCACGGTGCCAAGTGGATGGTGGGGGCGGGCCCTCTGGGAATCTTCCAAGGAATTGGAAGGGCGTGGGGTCCGCAGGATGGACCGCGCTGAGAACCCGGCCCTGGAGTCCCCCAACCGGAGTGGGCCGCTACAGCACAGCGCCCCGCGCGCCAGCACAGCCTCTAAGACTGGGGGTGGCAGAGGCCGTGGCATGGCTTCTCAGCGGCGCTGCCACAGACTCTAGGTAGGGCAAATTTTCAGATATCCTCCCAGATAATTCGGAATTACAGGGATTTTCAGATCTTCGGTTGGATCCTGAGTAACTTATAAGCGTGATTTCACGGAGGAACGAATCTATATACTTGAACCCTGGGCGCTAAATTTTACCCCGGTTTATATGACTCCCAGTCTCCCAAACAGCGCACGAGCGTGCTCACACTCACCCTTGTCTGCCAACTTTGTCAACATCTGGCCTTCAGAAATCAGAGGTATTATGTATTGACTCGCATGATCCACTTTTCCTGGTTTGTCCGAAGGCATTTCCCAAACATCGAGGACGTGAAGTCCTGACAATCAAAATGATTTACTCAGAGATCATTGAGGACAAACACCTGTGAAATAGACAAGTTGGGCCACTCTCTTTGAAAAAGAATAAACAAAGCAGCACATTGTGCTACAAATAAAAATGCAAAATTTAATTCCGGAGAGAGGTTTTTGTCCGCTTGTGTTTCCAGATGCTATGGGTTTTGTTTGAAACGGAGGTCTTCTTGCCCTTAAGCCAGATCTGGCCTCCAACTCCCAGAGATCCCCTTTGCCTCAGCCTCCAGAGCACTGCTATTACAGTACTAATAAATTCAATGCAAAGAAATGGCCTGATATGTAATTGCCTGGTCATTTGGATTTTTGCGTAGTGAAATCTAAAGCGTCCTTTCCATTCTGTTCTTCAGACCTGCTGCCAGCCTGTGATGGAGAGAGACCCACACTGGCATTTCTGCAAGATGTTATGAACATTTTGCTTCAGTATGTGGTGAAAAGTTTCGATAGATCAACTAAAGTGATTGATTTCCACTACCCCAACGAGCTACTTCAAGAGTATAATTGGGAATTAGCAGACCAACCACAAAATTTGGAGGAAATTTTGACGCATTGCCAAACAACTCTAAAATATGCAATTAAAACAGGTATTGTGCAACCAGCAATAATAAAGCTTTTTGTTTTGCATTTTTCTTTTTTTTCCCATAAAATCGTTTCTGTTCTGTTGGGTCGTGTTATTTTCAAAATTGCAAAGTTACATCCGCTTAAAAATAACTGTCATTAGAATGATTTGAAAGCATCTTGTTAATAATATCAGAGCCGTCGTTGTGGTATTAATCTGAAGACTGCCACAGAGATTAACCAGAGGTTGTAGAAGCTGCCATTTGTCAGCAGGGGCCAGTAGAAGTGACCCAAAATGGAGAAAGAAAGGGAATACAGAAAGGAGAGCTGTAAAGACTAAAGATGAGATCCAGTAAGCTTGAACTCCAGTGTGCTGCTGGCAATTTCCTTGGCTCGGAACTAATCAGGAGCCTCAACAAACGAACTTACACAGTCTTCGGGCTGGAGGGAGAATGTTGTGACCTTGTTTCAAGTGACTAAACTTTGGATTTGAATTCCAGCTTTTCTTCTTTTTTGAAACACACACACACACACACACACACACACACACACACACACACACACCAAGATATGACTAGCTTAGCAGTCCTGCGGTATTATGTAAGGATCTTTCTCCTTTACTGATGTTGTAGTTCCAGGTATAACTGCCATTTGAATGCCTGTCAAGCAGGTCCTGAGTGTCCTGCTTTTTTTCTACATTGTCTCTAATCATTTTGATACATAGTGAAACAGATTAAAAGTGATAAATATGAATGCCTTTCTCAGGTGGAGGAGGGAAGGCTGAAGGATCTATAATGATTTGTAGAATTAGAAAGATTTACTGGTAACTAATAAATGTGAAGTATTAAGGAAGCATTAGTCATGCAAATGCCATGTTTTCTGCTACCATTTTGTGTGTGATTTATTAGCAAAACAAATAACAAACACTTTAAGAACATTTGCTACAAAAACAGTTTAGCCTTTCCCCCTCTGAACATTCTTATCAGAGGAAAAAGGTTTGCATAGAAGCCTTGGGAAACTGATTTATTGTATAAGTATTTAGAAGACTGTAGACTTGGAAATAGATGTGAGGGAAAATGAGTTTAACTTGTTGATTTCTGTGAGTTATAATTTTTGGAGGTTTATTAGGTATCATCAGTTAGTCCTCCTGAAAAACCAACGCGATGCACATGCCAGGCACGAAATGAAACTCCGCTTCCCCCACTTTCCATGCATCCATCCATGCAAACTTGAGCATTGCTTTGAACTCTTTTCTGCTTGGCCCATCCCCCATACTGAACATTTAAATACGCTAATGGCAAATTGCTAGCTATCGTTTATATCATTCACAAATAAAAAAGAATTCACACTTTTTTTCCCTTAACATCTTCATTCTTAAAAAGCTGGTAGTCTTTGTAATGCAATTTAGAGTTAAGATAATGGGAATTGCCAGCCAATGGAAGTTCTGTATATCAATGCTCTATTACTGTCAAGGGGGAATAAATGGATCGATAAAATTCTTAGATTTTTGCTATATCTTTTTTGTAAATCTATTAGTCAAATGTTACTGCAGTGCATTTTATTTAAAGTGAAGATAAAAATCTTATGGGTTAAGATGAATATCTCAATATTATTCATGCCATATTTTGTCTTCTGTCCATGCATCCCCAAATAGCACTTCAAAAAAATCAGCAGCAGTCAGCTTTTTGTCTTCAACTGTCAAGCTTATGGCTTATTATGCTGTTAGTGTCCTATTTGTCAACTGGTACTACATAGTCTATCAAAGCAGTTACCTTCCTGTCACCATCGGGTATTCTTATGATCCTTAGGAGATCATTTTATAAAATGTCACCTGATCTCTGATAACAGTCCTTAACCCGATTTCCATTTGACCTCCAACTTTGCAAAGGGTTGAAGGGCAGTGAGGAACATTTGTGAATGAGGTGTCTGCATCTTGTTCAAATTACCTGTAGAGATATGTTAGAACTAGAAACTTCTGTGAATGGTAGGATTCTAGAATAGCATCTGCAGGTATTGTTCCCTTTAGCTGGGGTGGCTGGGAGAATTAGGGTAATGTTAATGTAGTCATCAATCTTTAAGAGAACCTTTAGACAAAGGGAACTGAAGCCAATGTAGGAAAAGCAAGCACCCCTCTGAAGGTTGTCAGTTCACAAAAAGCAGTTTTAGAGGACTATTGGCTCCTCTCCAACTGTGAGCATCAGGTCTCATTTGCTAGGTGCTAGCTTTTGAACACCTGTTGGGACTCATTTGCTAATCTGTTCAGGAGCCTTCTGGTGCTTGGAGCAGTATGGCCCTCTCAGAGTGCTCATATCATATGGGCCAGGGGCAGTAAGATGTCCAGCACTGCTGGAACTCCATCAGATTCAGAAGCAGCTTCTCACACTCTCAGACAGCCCTGGATGGATGCAATGGGGATCCCTTGGAGGCAGCCTGTAGGGGCCACAGAGCAGAACAAATGTAATTAGGGGGATTTTTCTGCCAGATCCCCAAAGGACATGCTGTCTGACCTGTCAAACTACCTCCTTCCATAGTTTCACAGCATTATCAGTGAATGAAAGCTGCGATGCAGGAGAGAGCCAGATAAAATTGCAGATGAAGGTCAAATGGAGTGGACCTTCACTATATGGAGTGAAGGAAACTCAGTAGCAGAGACATCAAACGTGTTTAGTTTACCCAGAGTATCTGTTTAAGCACAGTAGACTGGATGTCCAGAGCTCCTGCACACACCTTAGACTTCCTCCCAATTTTATGCACAGGTTACCGTGCCAGAATTTCCAGAGTTAAATCCTGTGTGGCAATAGGTAGAATCATCTAGAAATGCAAATAAGCTGTAAATCCACATTGTTTTCCTCACTCAGAAAATGATTTAGGTACAGCAGAGTGGAGGGCCCTCTGGAGGGAGAAGTAGGCTGTGATGTCAGCTTCGGGCTGCGATGAAATGGGGAGTCAATGAGGCAGAGAGAAGGGGGTGGCGTCTTGCAACAGAATCTGCAGCAGCAGAGGGACTTTATACCTTTTCTGAATGAGGAGACTGATGAGGTCAGAGTCAAAGGGCCCCACAGAGGAGAAAAGGGGGGCGGAGGCATGATTTGAGGCCATAAAGAGGCAATGCCAAGAATTAACTAGAGTTGCACAAATACCAGTCCCTCTAAAATGTGCTCTTTCCCAATGCCTCTCTCTTCCCATTGTCAGACTCTCTAGCCACATGCCCAGGGCTGATAAGAGAGCCTTCTAGTCCCTAAGATAAGCAATGTGCTTTTTCCACTGCCGTCCTTTATCTTGTTTTGCCCACACACTTGGGATGTGAGACTCACATCACAGGCACCAGACAGATGTCCAGCAAGTGACAGATAACTTTAAAAAAAAATCAGATGCTACTTCCATAATTTTACTCCTTCCCAAACTGCTGTTGCTAAACAAAACATGGATTTATTGATAGGCTTATGAGGGACAGGATGGGCAAACAGACTCTTGATGAGATATTTATAAGCACATTTTAAATAACAGCCTCGGGGGGTATGTGAATGTCAATCCATTTACAGAATTTCAGAGAAATCTAAAAGTTGATTAGATAACCCTTTTAATGGGCCAATCTAGCCATTGATTATATTTTTCACAGATGTGTGTTCAGCTCTGCTCTAAATCTCGACTAAGAGGGGGCTTTGTTGATTATAATCACAACTCAGACAGGGAAAAACTGTCAAGAATTAGCTTTGTCTAGGCCATCTCTAGACACACTCATCACCTTTGAATCCAGGGCAAAGCATTCTGCAGAGTGTCCTAGTTTCTCATTTTTGCCCTGTCTTTGTAATCATCAGTCATTTGTCACCGATATTATTATGAATGCTGGCATGCCTGAAGGATGTCGTGGTATGACTGATTCTTGGAACAGCTCAACAAAAGGACTGTTCACAATATCAATGCAAATGAAAGGAATGATTTGGGATACCACAACATTTTAGTTTGCAATTATATTGGAAGTATCGAGGAAGTGATCTAGTCCCACATTGCAAAGTATATATTTTTAAAGGGCCTATTTGAGAGATGATCTTTACAGTGTATCTTGGGAAATACTAAACTCTAAGTAGCCTCCGGTGAAAGGAAGGATTGCTTGAGTGTGTATGCACATGTGTGCATGTGATCATGTGTTTTGTACTCACAGGCACATTTGCATACTAGATTTCTGAATATGCATCTCTAGGAACTAACGTGTCTTTCAAGATAATATATTTGTGTTTGGGAGACATTTATTTTTTCACTGGTTGCAATTCTAATTCCATTTTATTCAGGGCATCCCCGATATTTTAATCAGCTGTCTACTGGATTGGATATGGTTGGGTTAGCAGCAGACTGGCTGACATCAACAGCAAACACTAACATGTAAGTAGCTGATTACACAAAAACCTCTTTTGTGTCGAACTCTTTGCATCATGTGTTCTCAGTCTGGCTTAATTATTTAAATGCCTTTATATGTCTTTGATTTTTATCAAACTGCAAAATATTGAAATACAAAGAGACTTTTTAACATTTTCATTTAAAATAGTATGTTATGTGAAAAAAGAATAGAGCCCAATGTTGCCTTTTTACATAGTCCCACTATGTCCATATGTTCTGTATTCAATATGATAAACTACCCTTGCACATGTTGCCAGTAATTGAAGATCTTGACTTTAAGACAACAGAAAAATGAGCAACAATTTAGAAAAACTTTTTGTTTTGTTTTGGTTTGATTTTGTTTGGGTTTTTTTGAGGCTGGGTTTCTCTGTATTGCTTTGGTGCCTGCCCGGGAATGCACTTTTATAAATAATCTTATATTTAATGCTATAATCCTTACATCTATGAATGAAAGTTTTAAAAATGGGGAAATTATGTGAGATTGTAATGATGAATAACTTATTTGAGCTACATACATAAAACATGGTCATTTATACATTTCAGGTTCACCTATGAGATTGCTCCTGTATTTGTGCTGTTAGAATATGTCACACTAAAGAAAATGAGAGAGATCATTGGCTGGCCAGGGGGCTCTGGAGATGGAATATTTTCTCCTGGTATATATTTCAATTTTTCTCTGTTTTGTTCTTCTGATGTGCGGTGTTATAAACTTAAGAAGATCAAACATCTATTTTGTGTTTATGATTAGCTTACCTAGGCTGTTTGCTTATCAAAATTAATGAGTGTAGCTGAATCCACTGAACACACCTTCAAGCTTACTAATGTTTAGAAGTCATTTGTGCTCAACAGAGTATAATCAGACATGATATTCACCCCATACTTCTATCATAACCCTACAAATAAGATATATGGATAGTGCTGGACAAAAGAATAATGATTGCTAATAAGGAAATTCAGCCTTGTTGCATTTCCCAGAATCAGTGAAATGGGAAAGTCATTTAATACGGCATTAAGTGTGTGATGGTGTGAAATGAAGCGTATCTCCTCAGTAGAGCCCATTCCCTTCTCTAGTCTCTGGAATTTCAAGCAGGGAAGTGGATTTAGACTAATTTCTAGGAGGGCAAACAGTGCATGGGGAGATGATTCCCAAGAGTTAAAAGGGAGTAGTGATCCCTTTGAGATATTTTTCCTTCCTTCTCTTTATCATGGCACCCAATCTTTTCCATTTTGCTTTTTATACCAGCCACCGAATCCTAGGCTCCATTATTTACACCTCTTCCAGCCTATAGAATCAACCTGAAAGAAAATACTGTGCCCTTAGCTCATGACTGTGACCTTGACTTGATTCATAGATGAAAGAGAAGTTAGGAGGGTGATGGAGAAAGTCACTGACCCATGCAGAAGAATCCCAGGGTCATAGCGGAACCTAATCAGTGAGAGGAAGCCAGTCTTCAGTATGCTCTGATGGGTGGGCTAAACAGGAGAAGCCAGAGCCATGCCTGTACTTGTCAGGCATATCATGGCTGGATTCTGATCCCTCTTAAGCAAACCTGCAAAAGGCAGGTGAGGGTGAGAGAAGAAAGAAAAATGTGTGAAGATGAAACAATGACCAAGCAACAGTGGCCTCAAGGACAAGACTTACATATGTTCGTCTAACCATCTCTCAACTGTTATTTTTATGTTTTTTTTAACTACATAGCATCTTGTCTCAGATACAAAAGGGGAAAGTGTTAGCTAAATGGAACAGAAAATTATTCTTAAAAAATAGTCATTGAACACTAGTCGTGATAATTCCTTCATTTTCTAAGCAATTTAGTACTTAGTCTCCTTTGATGCTAAGTTTGTGGCTTGGTCTTTATGGCCTGAAATTTCTGTGTTAGACATATTTTCATGGAGAACTATGTAGGGTTACAAGGGTTATGATGTCAATATTTTCTACTTTACTCATTCTCTTTTAAGGGTGATTGTGGAACTAAGCTATCCCTGAAATATGCCAAGAACAACCTAGTTTCTATTTTAATGGCTCATAGAAGTAGGAATCTGTTGATTATGAAATTTTTGACTAGTATAAACAGGGGACATGCCTAATTATCTAGCTTCTCTTGGAACCTGTATGTCCAAAACATATACCCCCATCTGCAAAAGAATGCTCATTGATGGTTCTGCTAGGTTCTGAATGGCATGATGGATGGTGGTAAATTATCAGGTAGAGACTATGGAGCTTTTTCCTTTGAGCCCAAAGACTCCTATGTTCTCACCTTGGTGCCAAAGCCATAGATGTAGTGTTACTTTGTAATATAAATATTCCAAAGTCACAGAGGACAGAAAGCAATGGGAACCTGTTTTTCCTCATCTTCCTACAAGAAGAGGGATAGATCATAGCATCCTTATTTGTTTGTAGATGTTTTACTAGATAGCATCTAGCCTTGCTCCTGGGCTAAAGAGTTGAATGATTCAAGGAATAGAAGTAGGAAAAAGGCAGCACCTAGGTTGTGCCTATGATCCTGGGACTAAATCTTAAAAGTTGGATCTTTGACTTGGACAAAATGATCACCTTGTTTTGACTGTTGTTCGTCTCCACCACTAGCACCCAGAGACTTGGTGCTTCCTGGGAATTCCATTATGACTCCTAGAATTCTGTATATGTGATGTTACCTATACCTGAGAATCAAAGAGCGCTCTACTCTTTGGCTGACCATAAAGGACAAGGCCTGAGGCATAGTCACAGATCTATTCCTGACATAGTCATTAGAGGTTGTAGGATCCAGGCACCTATCCTCATCCTCAAGTGGTGTTACACAGTCTCTTCATCCTCCTCAGGGTTGCAAAGCCTTTAGCTGGAGAATGACTGAGGTGCAAAATGAGGAGCAAGAGGTCAGAGCTGGAAGCTTCTAGCTTACACTTGAAGAGCACTTTCTTTGTATACATTCTCCTTTCTTTTTTCCTCTACCGCCACCCTCAGACTGGGAAATATAACAAGAGTTGCAGTTCTCAACTAGGGAGCCAGTGTTGCCCTTCCAAAAGAACCATTGGGAATGTCTGTGGATAGTTTGAGTTGTCATGGTTTTGAAAGAAAAATGCTGCTTGCAAATGGAAGCCATGGATAGCGCTAAAGACCCAACATTACCTAAGACAACCTGCCTTTAAGGAATTCTGTAGTTCAAAATGTCACTTGGTGCTAGGACTGAAAAACCCTAAACCAGTATAAAATGTCCTCAAAAGCTTTGCTTTGAGTCCAGCATCACACAGTGTCTGTCTTCCAACTGGGCATCTGACCTAAACATACTTGACCTGTTTCCTACTGTCTTGCATCTTTAGGGTTAAACAAGTAACTGCCTGCATTTAGACCGTAGAGATGCCAGGGTCTGGTTTGTGCCTGCTTTGTACCAAGTGGCCTGTCTGTGTCAGAGCCAAGGGCTCATAAGGCAACAATCATAGTCTTGCATGGGTGCTTCAACTTGGCAGAGCCTGCCTGTTCCTCAGCCACTAGAAGAAAAGGCTAATCAAACCATCCATGAAATAGTCCCAAAAGTTTCTTCCTTGGAGTGAGGCCGAGAAATGACACTTCCACTCTCCTTCTGGTCTCATGATTTCTATGCCAGCATATTCATGTGCATTTATATTTCCTGGATAGCAAAATTCCAAAGCTTCTCAACAGTCCTGCTGAAAGTTTCATTGCTTGTCATGTAAGATGCTCCTTACAGAGTAGAGTAAAACTTTATCATATGAAATCCTTGACAGTCTTAGGGAGATACAGGGAATGAAATTCCACATGGAGCTGATGTCATCAAACAGTATTGCATCGATGAATGCAATTGTATCTCAGGATAACTTTGAAAGAATAGACCTGTTTAGAGGAATAAACAGAGGATGATGAGATGAGCATGGATGTTTATCCCACATCTGCAGGAACCATTAGCAGCCTGCAGCATTAACATTAATGCTGGTTTGATTGTCTCAATTCAAGCATAAGGCATTGTCAGAAATGAAAAGAAATAGCTATTTGCCACCATCATAGCACCAGGATTTTATAGGCCCAATGGCAACTGGTTATGCTTATAAACTAGAGAGAAAAGAAATAAAAAACTCTTTTCAAAAGTCTCTTCAAGATGGGAATAGTGGTACATACATAAATCCCAGCATTCGGGAGGCCCAAATCAATATTCACTCGTCATAATTATTTATGGAACTCATATCATCACCTCACACAGCAACTTTAAAAATCAAACATTCTAACACAGTACAATCCAGATATGCTGATATGTACCAACTAAGGAACAATGATAGAGAAATATTAACTTTGTTTTCTACAACTAAGCTATTAAATTTCTGGAAGAGCAAAAACTTCTGTAGGTACAGCAAAAGCACTGCTATTCATAACATACATAATCTGGTATCTGAGGCAAGGCATTTCCATCAGTGCTCATTGGGATCTATCGTGTGGCACAACACTAAAGGCCAAGTGAGCATTTTATGTGCCTAGAATCAAAGTTACCATGACACTGGGTAATGTAACACAGAGAAGCACTGCCAGAAATGTCTCAGACTCATTCTATGTTTGCTTTTGAAATAATTTGTGGTTGTTATATATTCTGAAACTTTTACTGATGGCAATTTTTTTGATCCCGTCTCCCCACCACATGCAGTTATATGATGCCATATTGGACTGTGACCCACACAGTTAGAGAAACTGTTCTAGGTCTGTGGAAATAAAGATGCTGCTTGCATGAGAAATGTTGATGGAGAATGGGAAAAGTAACAGTTTCTGTGCCCTTTTAGGTGGTGCCATCTCCAACATGTATGCCATGCTTATTGCTCGCTATAAGATGTTTCCAGAAGTCAAGGAGAAAGGAATGGCCGCAGTGCCCAGGCTCATCGCCTTCACATCAGAGCACGTATGTGTTTACATTCCTTCCAGCATACGATTACATTGATGAGCACCAGTTAAATGAATAACACCAGGAAGTGCCTTTTCTCTAAATGTTCTCTTCCCTGGAGACACTTCTTCAAAGAATGGGGGGAGAGTTGAGCTGAGCTGTCCATGGGATCTCTTCCTTGTCTCTGAAATGCATGAGAACCTCAAAGACAAAGCAGAATTTATACCTTTTATTTTAAAGATTTGGCTTTAGCTATGAGTATGTATCTGTGTGGGAGTATGGACACGTATATGCAGGTGTCCATGGAGGCCAGAGGCCTCACTGGAACTGGAGTTACAGGCCATTGTGAGCCACCAAGCATGGATGGGAACTGAACTCTAGCACTCTGCAAGAACAGTACCTGGTTCTCTAACCACTGAGACATCTCTCCAACCCCAAGCGGGGATCAATTTAATTATTGCTGCAATCCTCCATGTCTCTCTAATACTGTGTCACAGTGAAAGAAGCAAGAGAAAGGGCAGTGTGGCTTTCAACTCTTCTGATTCACTGATGCAGTGCTTCATATAATCCAAACTGGAAGAAGCCCTGTTGGTGAACCCTTTCTGATTAAAACTGTCATTTTAGTGATTAGAAAGATTCAACCTTGTGTCTTTAGCCATTTCACTCTAAGCTGGCTGACTTGATTTAGTACTGTCTTAGTTATGTTTTGGCACAAGAGGGTGTGGTTAATCTTCCTCCTGGTTTCAGACAATTCAGTCCATTGTGATGAGAAGGCATGGCATGGTGGAGCAGAGCCATTTACACCATGATGTGGCCAGGAAGCAGAGACAGGGCAAGCTCTCTCCTCCTACTTTTACTCTGCCCCCATATCCACTTCAGGATGTGTCTTACTCCCCTGAGTTTATCCTCTCTGGAAACACTCTCACCTCATGGACATACCTAGAAATGCTGCATGCCTCCTAGGTCATTCTAAATCTAGTCAAACCTCCAGTGACGATTAGGCATCACAAGTACCATAAAGAAATGGCATAGGGGTCTTTCCCATCCAATCTTTGAGCCACATGTCTGGCACGCACTGGCTCCTGCCTATCACTGGGTGCTAGCTCGATGGAGGCTAAGACCTCTGGTCATCCTTGTTGGATATCATGGCATATCCAACTCCTGTGCATTCATGGAATTCATGCTCCTCCTGTGCCCTTCAAAGAGTGCATAATACCCCTTCTACTACCATGTAGGCAAGAAAACAATGTTCCAACTGTTCACAGAGCAGACAGCTCTAACCTGTCAGAGAACCAGCTGTCCCTTTCTGTTCACCTAGCAGGGCAAAGCAGCAAGAGAACCACACACAGCAGCAGCTTATGCGACACAGTAGGGTCAAACCCTGCTGACACTCACCTCATGATTTGACCTACACCAGGAGATAACTTTTATTTAAATTTAGCTTCTCTGCAGATAAAACAAGTATAATGTTCCTTCTCCATATTTCCCTGAAGTGGACCCAGATCCCTAAATAGCTGGATATTTCTGTATGCTCAGCCTCAAAATGCCCAGATGTGTTTATGTTAGACATTCTTTGGCTATCTGAGGTTAGCCCAGTAGCAAGCTGCCCTGTGCTGTCTGTCAGTCATCTTTACCTTCAGCATAAGCTTTTGAGCCTCACACTTGACAAAAGTTGACTTAGCCTGTTCTAGAAAGCCCAGACCATATGCTCTGAGACTACTTTTGCTATACTTTCTGTTCTTCATCTTATAAACTTGAAGTCCATTCCTTCATTTCTAAGAAGCTGAAAGGCTTCGTGCCACCATTGTCCTACCATGTCTTGCAGGCAGGACAACATTGTAGATCAAAGTGTTTGTGGCTGAGTTGGTGTTTACATTTTTCTTTGGGTAGCATACTGGGTAACTTCCTTACCAAAGATACTGGAGTATAGGGGTGAAGGCTCCAGGCAGGCAGTGACTCAACTTCACCATGTTCAGTGAGTTATATAGGTATTGTAAACTTGATGTTTTGTAGCTTCCATGATCAAATTTCTGCCATGAGCTTTTGTTCTTAATTAGATGATGATGTTAAATTATTAATCCCTGCCTGTGCCTGTAATAAACCACTCTGTCTCTTAAGCCAGGTTGGAGGGACATGTAGAAAAACAGTAGTGCAGCATCTACTTGCTCCATTCACCCAGACCATTTTAGACACAGAGAGATGCTTACAAGTGAGTCCTGCTCTTGAAGCTCCAGACAGAGGACTTACGTGATTCCCCATTTCTAGTTCCTTTGGGTCCAATTCACCATTCCCAGTATAGCTCCTCTTGGCTTCCCGGCAAGGGTACATATTCCTTATGTATTTTCAGATTTTACAATCATTTTGTTTCTACCTGTTCCTGAAATAGCTCTAAAAAGTCTCAAGAAAGAAAGTATCAAGTCCTTGCTAAATGACATTTTCTCCAATCTAAACATGGTTGGTCCTTGTGATGGGGTTTTTCCCATAAGGAAGAAAAAAGAGCTTCCGTGCTAGTGTGGGAAAGAGAGTGGAGGGCAGTGGCCACAGTGTCTTTCTTCTTGTTCTTTGAGAGGTTTTTCCAGTCCAGTGCTTACACGGCTCAGATGAGAATGTCAGAAAACTCTTGACTCATGCCCAGGGCACAGGAAGCTGTATTCAGGTAACTTTGTAAAATACCAATCTTACTTTATAGAGGGGGAAACTGAGTCACAGACATGAGAGGTGCTTTGTCCTGGATTACACAGCCAGCATGGCACAGCCAGATCTACAGTCCCTGTTCCTCTGCCATCCAGTACTGCTCTTTCAACTACTGGGCTAGGAGACTGAGTTGTCCCGTGGCTGGGGCTTCTGAGTTGACTTGTAGTATATTGTCTCAAGTGCTATTTCCTCCTCTGATTTTTCCAGTGCTAACATTTCCTAATGTGACAATCCAGGTCAAGTTACGGTTATTTTATTCTGGGTGCTGACTTTGCCAGCTGACATGTTTAGTTAGAGACATTGTCCTAGTTAGGGTTCCTAATGCTGTAATGAAACACCATGACCAATAGCAAGTTGGGGAACAAAAGGCTTATTTGGTTTGTACTTCTACATCACTGTTTATCACTGAAGGAAGTCAGAACATAAACTCAAAGAGGGAAGGATCCTGGAAGCAAGAAATTATGAAGAAGCCATGGATGGGTGCTGCTAACTGGCTTGCTCCTTATGACTTGCTCAGCCTGCTTTCTTACAGAACACAGGACCACCACCCCAGGGATGGCACCACCCACAATGGTCTGGGCCCTCCCCAGTCAATCACTTATTAGGAAAATGTTCTATAGACTTGCCAATAGCCCTGTATTGTGGAGGTGTTTTCTCAACTGAGGCTCCCTTCACTCCAGTGACTCTGGTTTGTGTCCATTTAACTCACCAGAGCAGCCATGAGGATGAAAATGAAGTTTAGTGACTCTACGGTCCATCATTTCCAACTGGAAACTTCACACATTCAGGAAGGGGAAGTCACTCTTTGCTTCCTATGTGACCAGTGCAGACTGGAACCTCATCTAGAGACAGCGCAGACTAGAACTTCATCTAGCTGATAAGCTGATAAGCTGTTACATTTTTCTGTCTGTGAATATGAACTTATTTCTCACAAAATTTGGATAGGACTAAATTAATCAAACAGCATTAGAAGCGAATGACTCAGTGAGCTGCTACAGAGATAGCACTGAGGCCGTGAGCAATGAGTTCCAAGATGACTCCCCTGCAATATATAACATCACAAAATCATGACACTAGAAGGGCCATACAGCCCGTTCATCCACATTCATCCTCTGCTGAATCATCACCTCCCCCAAGCCTTCCATGAAAGGAAAGCTTAACAAAAGTAATCTAATGAGTTCTAGAGAAGTTCTTAAAAGCTGATATAGAGTTGATCTAAAATCCTGGCTCCAATCTCATCTGTCACTCTGAACCCTCAAAATCCCATACTTAGAGATGTGTCTCACATCTCCTTTTTCTTCATGTGACACAGCTCTTCCAGAAATAACTTCCATAAAACAGCACAATGTCATTGAGGAGAAGCATCCTTCCTGATTGTAAGAGAGAGAAGGATCTTTTAGGCAAATCACCAAAACATATTCCCTGCACTTTTCACAGATCAGGGGCCGAATGTATGCATGTCCTCTAGAATGGGTCATGAGCCATCCACTCAGGCCTCTCATGGGAAGAAAGGGAGTAATTCTCCTAACTACATTAGAAAACAGTTTTCGTGTTTTATATATAACATTCTGGAGAGAGCCAATTGCCAAAGTAGTTCTCCTTGAGTAGCAACCACAAAAACACAAAAGGTTCATTTTAAAAAATGTTCCACACAGCATGGAGAAAGTCAACTTTGATGCAATGCAATAGCATAACATAACATCAGGCACACACTGACAGAAGGGAAAGTAAGAAAATACGATGTAAATCCAGTTCATCTTCAATACACCTGATGGGCCTCTGCATCTGGGCCTCATTTTCATCCCACTCCCATGTTGCTTTCTCCTCATGTTTACTCCTGGCAAAGAACGTAAAAGCCTTGCCTAGGTGTGAGTGACTATAACCACACACTGCCTCTCCTGAAGGTACTTTATAGCAGTGGCTAATAAGGAACAGGGACAGTGGGGCATTCCCTGAGCTATAGATTCTTTACTTCTTAGTCCCCTTCCCCTCTTCCCTCCCCTCTCCCTCCCCTTCCTTCTCTCCTCTCACCTCACCTTCTCATCCCTTCCCTCACTCCACTCCGCCTTCCCTCCCCTTCCCCCTTTCCCTTCTCTTCCTTTCTCTCCTTCCTTTCCTTTCTATTCCCTTCCCTCCCCTTCTTGTCCTTTCTCTCTTTCTCATTCCCTTCCCCCTTCCTCCCTCCCCCTTTCTTCTATCCTGTGCTGCTTTTGAGCCACATGTGAGGGGGAAGGTAGCAATAGCCCAGTGTCTGAACTTAAGGAGCATATGTTGTCACAGGAAAGAACCTTGAGGGAAGTCATCTTTCTTAAAGCCCATGAGAC